GCTCTGTCCACTGAGCCAAACCGGTTAGGGCCACTCTAACTTTTAGATAATCTATCCAAGATAGGCTCTTCAGGTGCAGTCATATATTTGCTTTTGTTTTTGCACAAACAGTAACACACTTCAACTGTATTCTGTCCTTTTTTATTGATTTTTGGAGAGAGAGGAAAGGAGAGGGAGAGAGAGATAGAAACATCAATGATGAGAAAGAAACATCATCCATTAGCTGCCTCCTGCACGCCCCCTACTGGGGATCAACCCCACAACCCGGGTATGTGCCCTGACCGGGAATCGAACCAGGGACCTTTTGGTTCCTGGGTAGACACTCAACCACTAACCCACAGCCAGCCAGACACCCATGATTAAGTCTTTGAAAACTATTAGCATGAGCTGCTGCTAAGTTGAACAGCTTTCCCCTGACATCCTGGATTCTTCACGGAGTCCCAGGCCTGCGGAATCACACAGCCTGCGTTCCATGGAGCGCTGCCTGTCATGGCTGCAGGGCCTCTGGAATGTCGCTTCACACCTTTGGGTCCCCGCGTCCTCAGGGTCATAGGGATAATGCTGGACCCGCATTGAGGTGTATGTGTCAGGATACATGCAGGTGCCAGCTGAGATGACATGTGAAGTCCCCCGTTCAGTGCCTGGCATACTAGGAGACCTTTAACAAACAGTAGCTTAATCATGTTTTGGATGTTTATTCATTCACCATTTATCACACACATGCAGCTTTTTTAACATCACGAGAGATGCATTGCATGTCTCCCTCCCAGATGCCCCACTGGGCCCCGCCCCGCTGGGCATGGCCACCGCGGGGCTTGACGTGTGCGCTTCAGAAGTGTCCTAGGTCCCAGGAGAGACGGGGGTTGCTGATGGGCAGATGCTCTGTGCCCTCTGCTGAGCTCTGAATCCGCTTCCTCTGACCATTCAGCTCACTTCCTAATATTCGCTCCCCTGGAACAAGACTCCCTGGTCACCGGGCAGCCTGTCCAGGCTTCTCTCTCCTTCGTATTGTCTGCTGCACTGTATCTAAGCACTTATTTGTGTAGGTTCTGTAATCTACGAGCGGAAATGCCCATTTGCCATTGTTGCCCAACCCCAGGAGCTGGGCTGAGCTCTGGTATGGGCTAGAGACCCAGCTGCCACTCCGGGCTTCAAACCGAGGCTCAAGTATGGGCTGTGCGTTCTCGTCTCAGATGCGGAGGGCATTTTGCAAGAAAGAAAGAAAACGCATTTTATTCTGTGTTTTTATATTTTACCAAGAAGCCTGCCCGTTGTTGAGGAGACAGAACGTTCTAGGGCAGTGGTTCTCAACCTTCCTACGCGCTGGGCATGACCACCGAGGCCTCTGACTACACACGTGCACCAAAGCAGGTGCTAATGTAGGTTTTAGTTTTCTACTTAGCAAGTCATCCCCTGCCCCAAACAGGGCCCCTGTTTTACCTTTCGGCGTGTTCTTCCATTCCTTGTCCTCCTGCCCGGCACCCTAAGCACTTACATGAGTAACTTAATGCCACTTGTTGCCGACTAGGAAATCCTGGCTCCTGGCTAGCCGGTGTGGCTGACCCTGGGCAGACAGTGGCCTGGGAGCTTCTGTTCCCTGGCAAATTCTCAACCGACTTTGGGACAACACACCCTAAAAAAAGAACTGGGGAAAGAACCCATTTACTCTATTACATGATGAATGAAAACCAAACCCTAAGACCTCTGTGTTCACCCTAGGTAGGGAGGATGTCTGAAAATGAACCCCATGTCCCAAATGTGGAATCATTTTGGACTTTTGCAAACATACCCGGGTTCCCCTGCCAGGGCGCTTGGAGGGAGGAGGAGGGACTTCGGGCCAGGGTCGCTGCACAGGGGAGCAGGACACCTGGTTTCTGGATAGAACCGGGCCCCAAGCTGTGACGTCATCGCCCGCAGCCCTAACCTCCCCCTCTCCTCCGCCCCCCACTACTCCGCCTGCCCGTGCATACTTATTCTCCCCGTTTTAAAGAACTTCTCACCAGTTAGCACCATATGCATTTACGTTGTTTTATTATTATTATTTAGAGAAAAAACCATTGAATGTAGATAATACGCAGGAATAAAAGAGGTTTCACTCTGCGTCCACGCGGTTCATTTCCAGTATTTACTCCTTTACAGAGGAGGCGGGCGCACAGCCGAGATCCGACCGCGGAAAGAAATACAATGAGATGAGTAAAGCTCTCATCGGAGGGGGCTTCATTGTGAGAAGTGCAGTCTCAAAGACCTAGAGGACAGGAGCCAGCAAGAGCTCCATGGCCTCAGGAAAGACAAAGACCTGGGGATTACAAAAGTAGGAAGACGTGTCGGCAAATACATTTTCTGCTTCCCCGGGGGGAGCACGGGGCCGGGGTGGGCCACGGCCCCCCAGCTGAAGAGCCCCGTCTGCTGCAGGCATCCTGTCGGCTCACAAGATCATCGCCAGCTCCCCGGACATGGACCTGCCCACGGTGTCCGCGCTCAGGGTAGGTGCGGCCGAGGGGTGCGGGCCGAGGGGGGAGGCCCAGGAGGGTGGCCTGAGTCGCTGGAGCCCCCGAGCTGGTCATCAGCCGGCTGACTATCTCCCCCCCACCCCCATCTGTAGCATCAGGATCCTCCGCCTCCCCCCAGGCGAACAGACGGGGGTTCAAATGCAAGCACTGGGGCGGTTAGATTAATTGAGATGTTTGCGCATGGAAAGCATCTGGCTGTAGGAGGTGCCCAGCAAATGTGCGTTTGTCTTCATGGACTGTCTGCGTGTCCTTGAGGCACAATGAGCCTCAGTTTCCCCATTTATAAAAATGGAGAGCGCAGTAGCCACTTTGCTGAGTGAGGCAGGAAGGAGCCAGGCATGGTAGCTGTTCCTCTCTCTGCAAAGAGCATTCCCAGTGTTCAGCCCACACCTGGGCCGTGTGGGAGGGAAGGACCACGGAGGAAGGTGACAGGCAGCGTCTGAGCGGAGGATGGCCGATGCTCCCAGCACCGGAGTCCCGCAGGGAGGGGTGCCTGCAGCCTGCCCTGGACCACACGGACGCCAGATGGGTTAGGGCTTGTGTCACTTCCCAGCCCTGGAGATTTCTTACCTGGCACAGGGGGACCTGGCCTGGCAGACGCTGGTGGGGATGTGGGACAGCCGTTTCCTGGTTGCCATGGAGATGCGGGTCCATGCTCTGCACCTGTGCTCGCTTGCCCAGTAGCAGCATGTGCCAGTGGGGTTAGGGGCAGACCCTGAGGGACAAGGCAGGGCATTCCCGGCCGGGGCTGGCAGAGGAGGCTCCGCAGGGGTTCAGCTGCTCCCTGGGCGGGCCTGTGCCCGGTGAGGCCGCCCGCCCCGTGAGTCGGGGGGTTTCCTTCTGCAGAAGTTGGGGGTGAACCTGACCCGGAGCAACAAGGAGACGGTGAGGCACAGTGACGTCCTGTTCCTGGCCGTGAAGCCCCACATCATCCCCTTCATCCTGGACGAGATCGGGGCCGACGTCCAGGCCAGGCACATCGTGGTCTCCTGTGCCGCCGGCGTCACCATCAGCTCCGTGGAGAAGGTGCCGGGCTCAGCTCCCGTGCCCGGTGGGAGGGGAGGGGGGCTGTTCGCGGGAGCCGTGCCCTGGCAACTCCCTCGCCCTCTTCCTTGCTGCAGAAGCTGACGGCCTTCCAGCCGGCCCCCAAGGTGATCCGCTGCATGACCAACACGCCCGTGGTGGTACGGGAGGGCGCCACGGTGTACGCCACGGGCACCCACGCCCTGGTGGAGGACGGGCAGCTCCTGGAGCAGCTCATGAGCAGCGTGGGCTTCTGCACGGAGGTGGAGGAGGACCTGATCGACGCCGTCACGGGGCTCAGCGGCAGTGGGCCTGCCTATGTGAGCCCTCACTCCCTCACATGGACTTCCTCAGCCTCCTGGGGACTCGGAGCAGGCTGGGCTGGCAGGCAGGTGGGGCGGGGGGTCCCCACCTCTGGGGAGCTCCTGGGGGACACTGGCCCTGGGCTCTCGCTCCAGTCATCGGGGAAAGCAGACCCTCGGGGGTGCCCTTGAGTGCCTGCTGCCCCAAGACTCACCGAGTGTCTCCACAGGCGTTCATGGCCCTGGACGCGCTTGCTGACGGTGGGGTGAAGATGGGCCTCCCCCGGCGCCTGGCGATCCGGCTGGGGGCCCAGGCCTTGCTGGTTAGTAGCTTCCCTCTGCGTGTTCTGAGCCAGGGCGTGGCCTGGGGGCGGGGGGTGCCTTGTGGGTCAGTGAGTTGGGACGGGGTGTGGTGGGGAAGCTGGGGTAAGGCCTGGGAAGGTGTGTTCCTCTCACTTCCCGCTTGTGCTCCAGGGTGCTGCCAAGATGCTGTTGGACTCGGAGCAGCACCCAGGCCAGCTCAAGGACAATGTCTGCTCCCCTGGGGGCGCCACCATCCATGCCCTGCACTTCCTGGAGAGCGGGGGCTTCCGCTCCCTGCTCATCAACGCCGTCGAGGCCTCCTGCATCCGCACACGGTGGGTCTCTCTCCTCCGCCCGGGCCCCCATTCCCAGCCGGCCCCTGGGCTGGGTAGAACTAGTCGCCTTTGGTCCCGTTCGCCGTGTTGGAACCTGTGCTGTTCGTAGCCACCACTTAGCAGCTGAAGGTTTGCAGGCCTTACGTCATTTAGTTCTCCGCACAGTTCCGTTGTCGGGATCAGCTTTGGTGGGTGAGGAGGTGGAGACTCGGACAGTTCTCCACATGCCAAAGGGCTAATAAGTGATGGACACAGGGTTCATCTTCAAGTTCATGACTTCACGCCCTGTGACTCTCCACACTGTCTCTCTCCTCTTATCATCACAGATACACTTGGTGCCCTACATCTAGGTAGTAACCCATCGTTGGTTAAAGAGCACATCTAGCCCTCGCCAGTTTGGCTCAGAGGATAGAGCGTCAGCCTGCAGACTGAAGGGTTCCGGGTTCGATTCCGGTCAAGGGCATGTACTTTGGTTGCAGGCTCGATCCCTGGCCCTGGTTGGGGCTCTTGCAGGAGACACCCACTCGATGTGTCTCTGTCACATCAGTGTTTCTCTGTCTCCCCTTCCCTTCCACTCTCTCTGAAAAATCAATGGAAAAATATCCTAGGGGGAGGATTAACAATAAAAAGAGCACATCTGAGAAGGCGGGGGCAGTGTTTGGTGTGCTGAGTTTCTATTTGGGGTGGTATCCAGTCAGCAAGG